ACACTTTTGAAAATTTGAAAGTATATGGTAAGTAAATACTCCTTGAACTAACTTTTGCCACGAAGTCCACAATTCTCATTGGAGGAAAGGGCTGAAACAATTTCGCATTTACGCTCTGACTTTTTCCAAACATAAAATAATTGACAAAAAGAGAAAAAGAAATGTGACAAGGGCTTTGAATTTTGATAAAATTAATTTCTTTGTGGTAGGTAGGCTACTAACTAGAAAGTCTCGAGATGGATCTTTGAGATAGACACTTTGATACTCAAGTCAACAATAATCAGATTTATCTCTGGACTAATAAAAAAAGAGTTTTAGGTTGGTTTTAATTATCTTTTTGAGATGGTCATGGGGGGTATTTATAGACCTTCGTGAGGTATTCATGTGGTTTGCTTAGCATGATAATTAGAGTGTGATATGTTCCTTAAGACGGTAAATTCGAGATCAACAACAAATTTGAGACCAAAAAATTATGTGATAAATCAAGTGTGGGCATGTCCACTGTATTTACCATGTAATCATTTGACCAGAAGTACTGGATTTAACTTCATTTCAACTATTAAAAAATTATTATAATACATCCGAAGTTAAAGATTTCGGACCTATCCTTACAGGTAGGTAGGCTAATAACTAAACAGGGGATGTGTATTATGTATGACCACAAATGAGAAAGGAATCAAAATAAAATCAGGCACCGATTCCGCATCGGTTGTCGGAAACTCGAAATGCCCATCTCCAAGGCAAGAGTCAACGGTCTAATTGTCTTCTTTCTTAGGCCTGGAGCCAAACAACATGTCTGGTTGGGTTCCTGCAAATTTGCAATTCCCACCTGCCCTAACCCACAGTCAATAGTTCAAAGCGTAATCGTAGACCTTTTTGGGCCTCCTTACTTTCTTGTATATGGGCTTCAAAATGTTTTATGTGTTAGAGAGAGAGAGAGAGAGAATATTTGGCCATCATTTTAGATGTTTGTTAACATGTCTTAATTAGTTCAATAGGAGATTAATGAGTGATGATGATTCATTCATCAGGAGGATAAGGATAGTAAAAATTATTATTAAAACTTAAGTCATGTTTAGATAAAAATAATAACTTCATCCTTCACTTAAAAAGGATTGAAGGTTTTAAAGGATACTAAATACATACATGCATTATTCATAGATATACATATTTTTGATTAATTAGTTTTCATACTTTTTACCCTAGCGGTGTTGACTCAATGTACTCCAAGAGAGGGGGTGAATTGGAATTCCAAAAATTCTTCCCTTTTTGCAACCACAAAACCAAAATTAAAGAATAGAGAAGAAGAGCTTGCTCAATGATTTATAGAGGTTTGATCCAACCACTTGGAGCCTAGTCCTCTACCTTGGCTTCACTCACCAAGGATTTCCTCCACACTCTCCACTAACAACAACAAGGGTGGCTTAAAGGAGCCACTCAATCCTTTTACAAGAAGATGAGTATTTATCTCAAACCTCACCCCTTTACAATGTAAACCCCACGAATCCTCTCAATAGATCACTCTTGAAAGAATAATCACACCCCCAAGATCACTCACAAATAGAACAAAAAGAGGATTACATGTAAAGATCTCTCAAAGATAAAAAAAAACTCAAGTTAAAGCTCATGTAGGTAGGTAAAGATATTCAATACAATACTCTCTAAACTTGTTCATATCTGTTACCAACCATATTTATAGCCCCTTGCTCGAAAATAGCCATTTCTAACCGTTGGGGGTCATTAAATGCCCTGCAGGACACAAAGCTCGAGTTGTAGGATTGTCAGGAGAGCCGGCTTAAATTCCTAGACCCGCTCTGAACAGCCGACTCACAATTTCTGCAACCGGCTTTGCGGGATTCCTGCACATTCTGTTTTCTCGAGAGCCGGCTGTAAAACTTTGAGCCGGCTTTGGAACTCCGACTTTAATACATTAAATATTCTTCAAAAAAGTTGACCGTTGTGCATTAAATGCGCCCTCATAGCCGGCTACAGAGTTAGAGCCGGCTACAGAGTTAGAGCCCGCTACAGAGTTAGAGCCGGCTCTGCTTCCATTTTCCGCGTGCGCCAAAACACTAGTTGAATTTCTTGCTTGTAGAGCCGGCTCAACAAAATCTGCAGCCGGCTCTTTGCACTTTTGCTTCCCAGAGCCGGCTGCAATTTTCTTAAGTCAGCTCTGTGCATATTTTTACCCTTTGAGCCATTTTTAATGCAATCTCATTTTGCTTACTTTAAAGTATATTGGCAATTTAACTACACGCTTAAATAAATCAATTAGTCACTCAAATGTGTTTTGTAATCATCAAAATCATAGGTAATCATCAAAATCATAGGTACAACAATCTCCCCCTATTTGATGATGACAAAACACTATGATCATGAAAACATATATACTTCAATATTAATCTCAAAATTTCAGCACCAAGAAAATGACATTAAGACATTAAGACATTAAGACATTCCAGAAAATTATGAGAATTCAGCATACTTTCTCCCCCTTTTTGTCATTCATCAAAAAGTATATAAACATAAGTAATAAACTCCCCCTTAATTCCTACTATCAACCTTTAAAGCATCAAGAATATGTAATGAATATAATGATCAATCATCATCAATATAGCACCATAGACAACCAAAGTCATGAATACAATCATCAATTAATAAACTCCCCCTCAATAAGAGCATATTATCATCAAAATCATAAACTACCATTCACAAAGCATGATAACACAAGTAATGCCATTTCCATTCATAAAACAAGATAAAAAGGTTCAAGACATATCCATAGTCACATAAAAACATAAAATGCATAACCCTAAGATGTCCATCCTAAAGATTAGCCAAACTAAAGAAATATCAAGTTAGGTGGCATTAGGTGGGGGTGGAGGAAAAAAATGGTTAACAAGTCAATCAAGCTTTCCTTCCACGTTATTCATTCTTCCTCTCATTTCTGTCCGGAAACCATAAAAGTAGGTGTGTAGCTGCTGCATCTCAAATATCATTAGCTCCATGATTTCGCGGTTTGTCCTTTGCATGGAGGCTTGAAAGGGTCTTGGGCTATCACCTCCATGTTCTTCTTCCCTTTGTTCTGCCATTTCTTGATCTGTATCACCTTCTTTTTCATCAGCTTGCTGTTCCATTGCTTGATCCCCTTTCTTCGTCCAACTACCATTCCAAAACACAACTTGCATTTTTTCAAAGGATGCTTTGGTGAGAATGGTCCCAGCTTTAATTCTCCCATGCTTAAAAGGTTCAAGATCAATGTTGTTTCTCTTTACTAGCCTAGTGATCAATGCACCATGCGGAAGACCCATATCCAAGGAGTAATTCTTGATTAAGTTCCGGAAAATGAATCTTCCAAGATTCAACCTCTTCCAAGATTCAACCTCTTCCTTTTGAGAAGATAATCAAACCATAAGAGATCACCACTAAGTACAATAGATTTGGAGGGATTTTGGTGTTTGGGAGAGTGAATGGCGAGTTTTGGGAGAGGAGAGGTCGCAGGTTTAAAATAGATCTAGGCTGGTTTGTGCGAGGAGAGAGAAACCCGAATGATTTAAAAAGCTGCAGGAGAGCCGGCTCTAGTGCTGGAGCCGGCTTAACTTTAGAGAGAGAAGACTCTCGGGTTTTTGGGTGGAGCCGACTGTGGAAATTGTTGAGCCGGCTCTATTGGCCTTAATTGGGACAAACAAAAAGTTTGGGGCTGTTTTGAAGGGAGTGTACCTAATTTGATATTTCTTCATTTAACCAAATTTAAATTGAACATCAACTACTAAATTATGCAACTTTAGTCATATATCAATGTATGCATCATCAAATAGCATGAATATAATCAAGGTACACAAATTCTAATAATCAAATTCATAAATTTCAAGAATCATATCAAGCACTAGGAAAGACACATTAAATGGAATCATACTCAAC